TGAATCCAAACTGCTGGAAGCATAGCCTGGTAAGAACTGCAAAAACACCTCTTTAGACTATATGTTTTTTTTCTTAGAGGTCTTAACATCTCTCGGTAGGGAAAAAAAAACCCTTTATTTTGGAATTCAGTTCCAAAGGCACTGAAGGCATTTCCAAAGACATAGGCACTTCTGGCAGAAAGATAGAGGCTGACACCTCGTCTTGCTTCCAGTGCTCCTGCCCTCRGTGCGGGGCGCTAGGAGCGGACAAGGCTGGGGCAGTTGGTGGCATAAACTTCTTTCCTGGGCCAGAATGAGCTAGATTGAGGCAGATCATTCTGGGTTTGGGCTTTGGTAAACTGTTTGGGATACTGATTTATAGCAGCAGTCTTCAAACCTGACAGCGTGTTTTAGTTTAAATGTATGCAGCAGTTAGAGACTGCTGCGTGAATGCTCAGAAAGAATACGAGCACCTCTCGGGGGGGAAAGGTGTCCGACTGACTTAGAGAACTCAGCTTTGTCCTGGTGAGCTCAAGATAGGAATCCCTCCTAAGGGGAGAGAGGCTCTGTAAGKGAACACAGCTCCAGAGAATACCTGGTTCAGCCCACGAAGCTCTGCAGCTAGACTGTATCTTAAATACAGATCAATAGCTCTGGGTGTTGGTTAGTTTTTTGTGCTGCAGAAGCTAGTGGCAAATTTCACTGTTTTTGCTGCCTGCCCTTGATGGCATCATTAGCAGTGATGTGAATGGGGTTACTTGTCCTGTCTGGTGTCATCTGTAGGGATCTCAGCTAATGTTTTCCTCAGTGCTTTATGTTTTYAYTTGCAGGTGTAAATAACACTTGTGGACTAGATGCCATGAATCCCTCTTCGAAAGATGACTTCACGGAATTTGGCAAATTACTAAAAGAGAAAATTACACAGTATGAAAAATCATTGCATTATGCCAGTTTTTTGGAAGCATTAGTTCGAGACGTATGTATTTCATGTAAGTTAAATGAACAGCTTTCTAGAGTGCCAAAATTGTAATGGGGCCATAATTGAAAATCAGCTACACAGATTTTAAATCACTTTAATCGATATAGCTTATAGTAAATGAAGTACTAGGATCTGTTCCACTGACTAGTAACTGCTTCCATCCCTACAAGCTTTATTACAGCTAGTGTTTGTGCTAGGCTTGAGCTCTTTCAGCATGTCAGTTAGGGCAGATGCTKTGTAAAAGTTTGAATTTTCCTGGTGATCTGAGTTTTACACACTTCTCTTCTGGAAAAAAGCAACTCCTAGAGCCAAATAAGTTGAGTAGCTTAGTTGAGAGGAACCCGTAAAACAGGGTTCATACARCTCCAGGACTGCAAATAACTTGTTCTGGAATGCAGCATTCTAAGTATGCAGAGATAAAACTAGATTAAACACTCTTGCCTTGCTTTTCCTCCCTGTTTTTGGATAATTAGTTGTTGGAGACCTTTCTTCCTGGACTGTGCATGAAGGGTGAAGCAGTAACTCAGTACTGTTCAGTGCCCTGTAACTGTGGGGATGGTTGGGCTGCTGAAGCTGCTTCCCATGGATCATCCCAAATGCTAATTATCGTGAGCTAAGGGCCTGATTAGTCTGCGTTCTGCTAATAAACTGATTTAAATCAAGGGTCAGCACTTAGTAATAATGCTTATTTCTGTCTTTTTTTGAGAAATTTCATGTTAGATGATTTAACTGACTTCTAAGAGCAATATTCATGATTCATCTTTCTTCTTCTAATGCAGTGGAAATTGATGATTTGAAAAAGATCACAAATACTTTGACAGTACTATGCAGTGAAAAACAAAAACAAGAAAAGGTAAGAGTTTATTTTTCAGAAGCAGCAGCAGAAGCCACTGTGGTGCTAGAAAATAGAAATAGGTCCAATACTGAATTGAACTTTTGATTGTTATATGCAGTAACTGTGGATAAAATTATTAACTGGGATGTGATTTTAGTATTAAATATATTTAAATGGATGTGGTAATTGGGAGCTGATTAAATCTAGAAACCACAGGCAAAATCCTGAATAATTTACAGTAACTACATTTATACATACCAACTTTTTTTCCATTTTATGCTTGAAGTAAAAGAGGCTTACATGTAAGTCAGCCTCATTTCTAGCTATACATCATATACATATATATTAATATCAGATATTGATGAAGTAGTTTAAATATTTGCCAAACTATGTTAGTGGCATTTTGAATAGCAGATAAGTGGAGTTTTTACAGAGCCTTGCAAGCTAAACAAGCAATAACGGCATAGACAAATAAGAGTAGTTTTTTAAAGGTAACTTTATTAAGCGCTTAATAAAGTGCTAGTTCRTGGGATGCAAAACAAATGTATGTAATAACACAGTGCTAAAATCTCAAGGTGCTTTGGGATTAAGTGATTTACTGGATAGTAACAAAATTGAGCAGAAAACATCACAGAAAATGCAGACTTTTTCATTGTTTTACATTAAACTGGAGGATTATTAGGAAACAAAAGGCYGAGTGTTGTTGAATATAAATAGTAACTTGTGGATGTAAAATGAGAAGCTTCTCAGTTACCAGTTTCAGTGGCATGTGGTGTTTGTGCTGCTGTTTCTAATTCAGCAGGATGACTGAATCGCTTCAGTGCAAAGCAGACCTCACGGACAGCGTTACTGCACTGAGTCGAGTTTGGTACATGCCATAAACTTCACTATGGACTAGAGTTAGAGTTAGATTGATCCTAGGCTTGTGATTACTGAAACAACTTAAGTATTTGTAGTTTGTGTTTTTATACTCTCCTCTTTTTAATCTAAATTTATTAGCCTAATTTCTGAAACCTGCATCAACAAAAATCCGGTAGGCAAGACCTTATCCTGAAATGGGTAACTTTGTTCTGTGAAGTTTGTTGAGACTTAACTAACTGAAATGTCACTGCAGGGGCAGTGATGAGAGCCACATTAAACGCCTTAGGGTCTGCAATTAATAAAACTGATTTTGCTCATTTCGAGCCTTGAGGAAGTGGGATGAGTGAGAGGCYGGGGGCCAGCCCCTGGTACGTGGGGCTGCAGGGAGCAGCAGGACTCACCAGTACAGCAGCTTTACTGGGACTAGGCTCAGGCTGGAGCAGCGGCACCTGCACGTGGGGCTGCAAGTAAACATGCTCTTCTTGGCATTCAAGCAGAGTAAAGCCAAAAAGAAGAAAAAAGGGGTTGTGCCCGGAGGTGGTTTAAAGGCTACTATGAAAGATGACCTGGCTGATTACGGCGGCTACGATGGCGAATACGTACAAGAGTTTGAAGACTTCATGTGACACTTCTCCTCCTCCTCTGTCTTTCTGTTGCCCATAATCCCTTAAACATGTAGCACAACTTCTTTTCCTTTAAATTCTGCCAAATGCTACAATCAAAACTGCAGTATCTTTGTGCTGGTGGTTTAACTCTTTGACACGTGGTGCTAAAGCACTGGCATTGCTGTTCCGTGGTCAGGGGTTAAAATGAAGAAACCTGCGTGCTGTGAAACACGCAGTTAAAAATGGAGCTGATAATGGGAACTGTTGCTATGGGCCTTCCTGGCAACAACCACTAAATTGGAAGTGAATTTTGACGAGGCAAAGTGTTATTACCAGCACCGTTCAGTGATAGGGCCTTAACTGTACGTCCTTGAATGACTTGTTTCAGGAACAAAAGCAGTTTGCAGCAAGGGCATGGTGTGCACTTAGTATTAAAATTGCTTTGTCTTAAGTTAGAGCTTGAGGATTTCAGTATATTGTAAGGGAACCGCTAACTTCAGCGTGAGGATACTGCACCTGGAAATGGCACTCGGGCTACCCGGGACCTGAACGCCTGACATCCAAACACCACTTCTGGGGGGGTCAGAACAAGGAAATAGTTCCTTCTTTGAAAAATGACTTGTGTCTTGAGTATAAAGTTTAGTTTCCATTCATCTAAATTTCTACTAATGCAGCTGTATGGGTTGGGTATTCTTTAACAGTTATAATTGCCTGGTTTAAGTGTAAAAAAGAAAAAAAAAATCAGATTTCCTTTTGTTTTCAGGGGTTGTGGTAGATCTTTCACRACTCAGCCCTTTTCTTTCATTTAAAAAAACAAAACTTGCTTAGCAAACTGCAGCAGTTACTACAGTTGGGCAAATTGTTATGTTAACAATTATGACATCTGCAATGTTTTATAAAGCAACTAATTTAATAAAATCACTATTGTGAAGACTTCACCGCGCGTGGCTTKGGGCTGGTTCTTCCTAGCGAAAGGGCCCTCGCGAGGCCAAGCTGCCCATGGGGTGGACAGGGAGCAGCCCCAGACCCTCTTGCCCAAAGCAGCGTGCCCACAGAACAAGGTTTTACAGAGGTGAGTGGTAAATAAGGGACAGAGCTGCCACAAGCCTGTCACTTACCCAGTGACCTTCATCCTGCTGCTGGAGCTGCTGCTTTTCAGGAGCTTCTGAGACCCGTGTGAGCAGCTGCTGCACCAAGTGCAGAATTTCCCGTTTGTTCAGCTGTTTGGTTCTGACAGCACGGGGGTGCAGGGCCCTGTCAAGAGCATTTGGGCTTCTCGACCCCTCCTTCTACCACTTGGTACTAAAAGCCTCTGGGAGAGAGTTTAGCTACTCTTAAAGGGTGCATTTTAAACACAGGGCCCTCTTCATGTGTAATCCTCACCCCACAGGCTGTTTTAGTAGAGGTGTATCGAAGGAGCTAAGACCTTGTACCTGTAACAGAGCTATAATCAAGGACTCTCAGAAGTGGAATATCTTACCAGGCATCTGCAGTTTTCAAATGAACCTCCTCATCATCCTTCACCGTCAGTCTGGATATTCTGCAAATTCTCCTTCGACCTTAATTTTTGCTTGTTTGGCTAGAGTTGCTATGGAAATCCATCAACTGCACCCTTGTTGAGCTCTTAAGCTCCCCCCACCCCGGCCACAGTACCTGTACCAGGCTGTTAGTCAAGTATTTTACAAAGGGGAGGATTTATTGTACAAAAGAGCTCTGGGTCGCCCCCGGGCCAGCGCCTCCAGCACGCACGAGCAGCACCCGTGGTCCCTAGGGCTTGTGCAGGTGCCCCGCGAGCGAGCTAGTTCGCGAGCAGGTCGTTGAGACAGCAGCTGGTCTGCGCGTCCCGCAGGAGCGCGTTGACCACGTCGTAGAGCTTGTGCTCGTAGGCCAGGCGGTAGCAGGTGGCGACGTCCTCGCAGTAAGGAAGCAGCTTCCGCAGGTTTTTCAGAGCGGCCTCAGTGGGTGGGTGTTGTTTAACTCTGAAAAGAATTGGACCTCCAAGTCAAACAGGAGAAGAACTTTACGGAAAACRATTATCTGACAAGCGTGGTAGAAGAACTACCTCTACTGCTGAAAAGACAGGGTTGTCTTTGTGTTCAGCACACAAATTATTTTCCTGGCTCTTTTGTTCTCATTTATTTTGAAAAAAAATGTTTTTGATCTCATCTCTCAGCCTTAAAGTACCCTATTTACCCCATACAATAAAGATGACAGAGCTAGTGCTTTTCCACAAAAATGCTTAAAAAGAAAACGAACATAAACCTCAGCTACCGCTATACTTGGCTTTATCACAGAAAAGGTTTCCAACAGTACTAAATAGATTCACATATGTTTAACATGTAATTTGCTCCTCTGAAGTCAACCAYAGAAAACAAATGCCCCCAGTTGACTAAAGAACTACTTACTTCTTYGCAATCTCCTCAAATATGCCAGGCTTGAGCAGCCTCTGCTGTTTAAATTCTTCTAAGTAATTGAAGTCACCCTTAGTGATCACTTGTTGATACAGAACTTCAGCCCAATCTGGAGCAAAGTCGTAAGCCTCAGCCACGATAGCCGCCTACGGGGAGAGGAGAAATGACTGACCAGGAAGAGTTTGTTCTTGCACAGACACATTCCTACAGTTAAAGACTGTAGGCAGCAGGAGTGCATAGTAACAAATAACAACGGGGTAGTTCTTCACCTTGTTTTAAATACACACACACACACACACACATATTTATACACACACACACACACACACATATTTATACACACACACACACACACACATATTTATACACACACACACACACACGTTGGAAGTAACAGAAGGGGAAGGGTGGCTGTCACACAACCCAAGATAGTGAGTCCAAGGTCTATAGAATCAGTGAAATGCAGTATCCTGTTAAAGACACTGCCATTAGGATGTCATAATGCCATTTGCTCTCTCTAAAAAAGGGTGTTTTGTTTATTTTCAAGTTGGCGAACTGAAGCCATCAGTGTAAGGCAGGTGAGGGCTGGGAAGGTGGGTTGAGCGCGGCGCGAGGGCCCAGGACCGGCCCTGGCAGGGACCCTCGGAGCCGCCACGGGGACGGGGACGGCGGCTCCGGGCACCGCGTGGCCTCGCGCCCGCGGCCTCCAGCCTCCCTCCGCACCTGGTAGAAGCGGGGCAAGGACAGGACGCAGCCCATCACGTCCTGCCTGCTCAGGTTAATCAGCATGCTGCTCTGGCTGGTGTTCAGGAAATGCAGCTGCAGGGTTATCAGCCTTGTCAGCCGCTTGCAGCGTAACGCCTGGCGGACACACGAGTCCTGTTGAATAAAGACAAACCCAACTTTTAGAAGGATGTTTTCGATAAGAAAGCAAGAAGTATTCCCGAGAGCAACACTGCAGGCTTCCAAGTTGTCTCCCATTTCATCGTTCAGATCACAACACGTGCTAACATTGATATCTGCAGGAGTTTAATACGAAGTCTCTCAGCTCTCTTTATACTGCTCTATTCTTGTTTATCTTGAGTAAAGCATTTAAGCTTGTGATTGCTTCTGTTTAAGATTAGGGGACCTACATGTAATTGCTAATGCTAAAGACTGACCAGGGAGCAGCCACAGACAGCTCTGATATAACTGGGACGCTGGGATCCTGTGGAACTGCGGGAGCACGAGAGATTCTTCAGCTCGGCTTCCACCGGGTTGGATTCTGCAGAAGCCCTTAGAGCAGCTTTGTTTGCTCTCCCGGTTCGCTCCAGTCTTTGTGGGCTCCCAGGGCTATACAGAAGTCATTCCRTCTCATTTTACCTTAGAATAACTTTCTGCTGCATCAATAAAGAGAGTCAGGGCTTTCATCAGCAGCTTCTTTAAATTTGCCACATCTTGAAGAGACTCCTCTGAAAAACAAAAACTTAAGTCAAAGAAGTGTCGTTTATACACAGGACAAAATAAGCTACACAAATACTTGCTGCTACTAAGTCAGTAGCTACTATTGTTCAGAAAGCAGCAAGAGACTAAACTGGTTTCTTGTACATAAAAGCTGTGAACAAAGGGGAAGCAGCAGCGATACCTGCTCYTTTACGGAGCAAAGCTACTGCAAGAACCTTAATCAAGTGACTGAGGAACTGCAAAGAAATGCAAATCATTCACTTGCAGCAGATACAAGCACTATTACCAGCTAAGCTCAGAAATGCATCTTGCCTAGCTCCAATCCCAGGACCACTCGTTCCTTCCAGCCACTGGAAGTGTAATCGATGTCACCAGGACCGCACCACAGTCCATCAGAACTGCACTTTCCCATCACAGCTTCCTCCTCACACAGTAACATGATGTGYGACATAAAAGGATAATTTCACACTTCAGAAAGCAGCAGCGTTGTGCTGACAACAGCACAGCAGCAACCTGCTACATTACAAAAGGCACAAATGAACTTGTATTTCTTGTTCCTGCAGCTCCCACTCACCCCACGGCTGGGATTCGATGAGTTTCAGCTGAGTGCGAGCGGCAGCCTCGTGGTTCTCTCCTATTTCCCGACACATGCTGAAGCAAAGGGCTATCATGTTGTGCTTCTCGCTGTCTCCGGGGCGGCAGCGCTTGATGTAGTCCAGCAGAGCCGTCTTCAGGGTCCCGCTCTGGTCCGAGACAATACCAGATTARAGGTTAAGAGTCTGTCTTTTATTCATATTTCACTGCTCACAAGCAAATCTATTCTGGCTCAATTTTCCAAAAGTGATTGTTACACTACTTGAGGTTCCTTCACATTATTTTTAAACATAATGGGAGTATTATAATTGGCAATATAGCTGGGGATTACATTATGTCAAATAAGATGACCCAGTAGCTATATATTTAATTTACACTAAACTATCAAAATTACTTATGTGGCAAGAAAATTATAAATATTTGCTATTTTATAATTTCTAAAAATGCTGGAAAAATCCTAAAATAACTGRAAGTGGAACCAAAATAGGCCATGAAACCTGCACGTGCCAGCCCAGAGCTCAAGCTGTCAGTGCTGATCTCGCTGCACTACCCAAATGCACTAGAACACACAGGCTCAAGCAAAACCAGAAGAAAACCCAGCCTGGGTTCGTTACTGGGAAACCACCCTGTCYGCGTCAGCGATGAGAATCTCCAGGGGATTCCTGCTCGCGGTGCGAGGAGCTGCCGCTGCCGGTGCGGAGGCAGCAGCCCCTCACGCACCGTGTCCAGCTTCTTCCTCATGAGCACCTCGAAGTAGTGCTTCTCGTGCAGCAGCTCGAACACGTAGCTCATCTCGGTGTAGCGGCCGATGCCGGTCAGCAGACGAACCTGGGGGAACATCCGCGGGAGAGGGGGGCGGGAGGCAGACCCGYGCCCTTCCCGCGCAGCCCCCTTCCCCGGCGGAGGGCAGCCCGACACGCACCAGCAGCCCGTACTCGTCCCGCGGCGCCAGGAGCTGCTCCGTGAGCAGCCGCGCGGCCCGCAGCACTCGCGTGATGCCCTCCATGTGGCACGTCAGGCTGAAGCAGTTGTGGGCCACAATCAGCAGCTCTGTAACTGAACAGCACAAGACCTCACCTGCCTCCGTTAATAACCTGACAAAGTTCATCGTTATCACTATCATCATCATCATCATGATCTGTCTCGCTGCAGAACTGACCCCATCTAGAAGCACAACTGGGTAACGAAGCGGAGCTTTTACAGCTATGCCCTGTGGAATTACAGCAACGGCTCCTGTAACAGCGCATGCTCAGCCTGACTTCTTCATCTGTGGGAAAGTTTTCTTTTCCATCATTCTCTGAAATGTTGTTTTATTCAACACACAGAAACTGAATCCCTTTGCCAAGGGCTGAGGGATAAATGCATAATAAATATATCAGCACTCCACTACCACAGCTCCCTGCTTATAAAAGGCCACAAGCTTCAGATAGGGGTTTGAAAAAAAAAATTAGATTCCAATTAATTAAAGCAATAAATTACAATATATTCCATTTTCTGCGAAAGGCCCAATCTAATACTTGAAAGGAATCGTGACAGTGGAGCTCCAGATCATACTCTCAGCACCATGCAGTTCACTTATTAAAAAAGTAGTATATGAACTGGCACATAACCTACTTAAAGGCAGATTTTGAAAAGAATATGCTAAAATTCAGAAAACCAAACAACTGATTTCAAAATAAACTGATTATGTGTAAAACTATTGTAAAATAACACACAGACTCCAGAGACGGGTTACAGTATCCCAATACCACTTGTTACTCCCCAACGTTGCTCGTTGATGAGCTGCCAAAAACACCCTGGCTGCAGTTTGTAAACGTATTTACCTCTCCGTGATAATATAAAGCACACAAGGGAGTTCAGAAAGCAAAGATGCAGCAAGTTAATTTAACAATGGATAAAGAAAGCAGTGTCCAACCATGGCTAACATGAAGAAAGCCACAGTGCTCTCCTTTGGTAAYGTGGAACTATAGAGGTTCAGGTAACTCACTGATATTTTCCAGCTATTAATACAGAACAACTTACATTTGATATGAAAAATATACTAATCTACCCCTTAAACAGCATGATCATTTCTTGTGCATAAATTCAGATCTATTTAAGCAATACCAACTCAAGCTTGAGATCAGTAACAGATGCTTCCCAATAGATGCTTTCTGCGTGATTTTAAACCAGTGATATCACCATCAATAAAGCACTAGCTGCATGGGGTGTTATCTGCCATTTACTTACTGCACGACAGCTCCCCACGYGGCACAGCAGATATTTTATCCAGCAACTTCATGCCAACCAAGGTATGATCCTTGCAGAGCTTGGCCAGCTGCAGGAAGGCCTGACTCTCCCCTGCAGGGTTCCAAGCCTGTTTCTGCCCTGTGTGCACAGAGAGAGCTCCGTCACAAGTGCTTGTTGGGCAGGAGATGGGAGATACATTAGCAGGAAAAAAATAAGATAAAAACAACATAATCTCAGTCTGCAGACTGACCTAGCACTTAAAAGACACTTTTGATGCTACTGGTTTAATTAAAGGATCAGAAACTGTTTCTTGCCAATTCAGTCCAGTGCAATGCCCTGAACAGAGCGTTGTTCCTGCAGCGAGGGCTCTGATTTCACAAACCCAACAGGCTGGGGCAGCTGCAAAGAGAAGCTGCCTCCTCTCCCTCACACAGCACGAGTCCCGTCGGTGCCTCGCGGTGGCTCTGACACTCACGCTCCTSCACGAGCCAACCCGAGTCACGAGCTCAGCAGAAACGCCCTTTTCCTGCCGGGTTAGTCAGCCCAGCCTTCTGAAGAGGCTCCCCAAAGCGGCAGCGCCGGCCCCTGATCCGCAGGGAACGTCGCTGCGGCTGTGGCAGGACAGCCGCTCGCTCAAGGGCAGAGGCCCTCCCCGGGGATCCGCACTGCTTGGAGGAGCAGCTCTCCTTGCAGTGAACTTTCTTGGCAGAAAGTCTCTGGGCTGTGATTTTTACAGAGGAGTTAACAGGAATCTTTCCAAGTCAGRTCACGTGGGGTTGAAAATGACCAAAATAAAAACAAACCACTCATTTTATAGCACTAAATTTACATTCATAAAAAAAGTAAACTTTTAACCACAGCAATACTATATTGAACAAAATAAGCAAGTAAAAATAGATATTTGTATAAGGCTTTACAATGCTGCTCAAACATTAACTATGCCAACTTGTCCCCAAATATCCTCAGAGCAAGGGCAGACACACAAATCACGTTTCAGCCACACAAATCCCGTGCGTGTTTCAGCCACACAAACCACGTTTGCAAAGYGCAAGCAGCTGAAAGGTCGGAGGAGGCCCCTTCCCTACCTGTGCCCTGCGCCGAGCCCAGCAGCTCCTGCACGATCTCGTCGGCCACGAGCGCGGCCACGGCGGCGGGCGGCAGCCCCTGCGTGCTGATGAAGGCCTGGGCCTTCCTGCACCTCTCGGGCTGCCGGGAGGCCAGGATGGCTCGCAGCACCGTCTCCGGGTCGCGAGCGGACACCTCGCTGTAGGAGCAGTTCAGTTCCTAAGAAACACGTTCACATGAAGCCGCGCGGCCGGAATTCCAGGGACAGAGCATATCCTGGCCAGAGGGACAATGTCTTACTGATCATKTAAGAGGGGAGTGAGGGAGAAAGAGATAAAGCTCTTTTTTCTCTTTTTAAGAAAATATAACCCGTCCTTACACCAGCTAACGGCACCTTCACCCGTCTGTTTAGCCTCGATGCCTGCAGCTCAAGCCAACATCCACAGTTACTCTCYGAAGGTTAGCACTGCCTGAGCTGCTGGCCCAGACAGAGATGCCCTCTCAAAGGAAGTATTAACCTTAACACTTAAAAAGGCTAAAAGCAGGAGGGGATTCTGTATTTCCTTCCAAGCCAAGAGCTSTGTTTTATCACATGACTGTTTCAAGCACTGACCATGTTGCTCTTCCTCCTCTCCACATATCACAAACTCCCAGTGCAACAGACACCTTTTTTCCAAAATCTTTTTAGGAGATCCTCTCCTAAAACGTTTGCCCCTGCTGTATTTGGGAGGCGTACCGGTGAGGCCCTGGATCAGCCCACACAGCTAACGTGCTGTAACACACTACAGCATACACAGCATATAGCTGCTACGTATTCCCAAAGGCCTTCCCGGCCGCTCTCCTGCGCAGGCTGTGCCCTCCTGCTGCCGTGCTCCCAGTCACGCACCTTGGAGAGCTCGTAGAGGCACAGAACCTGCCTGCAGTAGCTCCTCCCGTGCACACAGGCGTCCGCGAGAGCCTGCAGCCTCACAACAACTCCATCGTCCGCGCTGGGAGCCACGAGGTGCGTCCACTCTTCTAGGCTCGATGCTAGAAACAGAAACACAGCAAATGCCTCTGATAAACAGATAATAACACTAGGCCTTATACCTGAAGAAAGGCCCCACAGACCTGTAGCAAATATGTAATAGTTTCTCAGTCCTTCAATAYTAACTCACAGTAGCTGTGATTTTTTTGTTCTTTTGGTTAAGTTTTAGCATGTAARCAGTAAGACAGAAGATCGATATTCCAAAAGAGTTGTAATAATATCCAAATGMTAAATTTCTAAGAACAGGAGAGCAAGTATAAGCATCCAGCAACATTCCTGAAGGCTTAGGCTTCCTTTACTCGCTCTATTTCTGTTTGCCAGCACACCCGTGTGGCAGCCCACAGATGCAAAGGGTTAATGCTTCAAACACGGGTGGAAGGTGGAGGATGGAGCTGCAGGGCAGCGCCTCTCCCTCCACCTAGGACAATATGGACCAAGGACCGAGGGCGGCCGAACACCCGGGCGTCACGGGCCATTATAATAAATGGCCAATATAATAAAATCATTATAATGTATGTACCAAGACTGTATGTATAGAGAAACACTGCAATATTTCCAAGTTTCAGCTCCAGGAGGACGTTCAAGATTTAGTACAGTATGTATTCCAAAAGCAGGACCATAATGCTACTCTACCTGAACTAAACTGTGATCCACAAAAAAAGGCAATGTTTAAGAGATTAAAAAATTGTATATAGAAACTCTCTACTTGTAGCACATACGACCAAGGTCTGTCATRAAGCTTCAGTTTCCGTTCAGGAGAGGACTCGGGAACCAATTACATAACGTACTGCCTGGAAGACCCCATCTCCTGCAGAGGCTTCTGGCAAAACAACACTAAGACACCTCTAATGAAAAAGCAGGACCGTGGTGGGCCCTGGCAGGGGCAGCAGGCCAAGGGGCTGAGGTGCGGAGCGCTACTCACTGCTCGGGACCCGGCCGGGCTGAGGCGAGCGGCCCTCGCCCGCCGTCTCTCTCGCCGCGAGGAGGGCCTGAATATCCGGGTGCAAGTGGTGGAGAGCAGCCTCCCCCGAGGCCAGGGCTCTGCAGTGCAGCACCAGCGAGACATCCCTGTCGTGGAACTGGAAATAGTGGCAGGCTCGGCTGGCCTCGTGCACCCTGCCCTGGTCCAGCAGGCGCCCCAGGAGGAGCCGCAGCGATGACGACTCCTCGCGAGCCAGGCTCTGCCGCGCGTCGCTGAACAAAAAGCCCTCCAGATTTAAGTATTTTGGAGTGTTCAGAGCGGGCAGCTTGGAGAAACAGAACTCCTTAGCCAAGCTATCAAAGGTAAGATCCCCATTCACTAAAACATGGCAGGAAAACCCGGATTTGTCTGCCCCTTCATAGGTGGATAAGGTTTGTTGGGCGATGCGACAAATCCAGATCTGCTTCTCTATTTCTTCTAATTTATCCAGTGACACTGAGTCACTCTTGGCAAGCCAATGGCCAGCCAGGGTAAGCAGCAGATGTTTCTCCATAACTGCGTTCATCTTCTCATGAGCTGAAGTTTCAACCACTGTATTTGCCTGATCTAGAAAGAAATCMGATGCCGCTTTGCTGGAGATGGAATTTTTCACGAAGCTGTCATTGCATTTTTTCCAGAACTCAACTCTTGTGTGGTTTTGATGCCACTGTCCAGTGTTTCTTAACAGGTGTAGATCTCTTAGAACCTGCAAAATTCATAGAAGAGTTAAATAACAATATTAAAAAAAAAAAAACACAAAACACAATGAATGGACTCAATATTAACAAAAACAACTCAGATCGAGTACTCCAATATGTCGCAAATCCATCTGCTCTTCTCACCAAAATCCCTGGTTGTACACAAAATAAAAACTGCAGGAGAATAAAGAGAGCTCCACCATCCTCTCAAACACAGCATTTGCAGGCATTTTTTCTGCATTTGCATTTCCATTAGTAAGTGTTTTAGAAGACCTTTTTTTTTTTTTTAAGGCTGAGAAACAACGTTCTTAGTACTGCCAGCAACAGCAAAATTAATATCACCATTTGACTATACTGTACCTCCTGGGTCACCACGTTGTCCACGGGCARCTCGGCCAGTTCTGCTACCTTGCGAGCCAGCGAGAACATTCCTTTGTCCTGCAGCTGCCCCAGAATGGATCTGCACTCATTCTGAAACCTCTCTGCACTGTAACCCGTTAGGATGGAGCGATTAATGGAGATGGACGAATCCTGCAGGGTCTCACTAAGTGCACACAGTTTCTTCACGTAAGGGCCTGTTTTAAAATAGTAGGAACAAGTTTTAAACCCAAGGAAATTCTGTTACCTATTTCAGCATGCAACCTGGCCAGAGAAGAACTGCAGATTTAACATTCTCCACCTTTCACAGGACTGCAAATATATTCTAAACTTATAACTAAAGCTTCTGTAGATTGCCTGTGCATTCCTTATCAATATACACTTGCACTTAACTGTTCTCCAAACAAAATGACATGCAATTACCTTTCCTCACAGCAATTACCGTAAGGGCTAATTTTCATTATGTATATTCCTACACAAGAATAAAATACTCCGAATAGACTKAAAGTAAATACTTTAATTGYTCCAAAAACATTTTAGGTGGTTATTAAGTTGAAGCCATAGGATCATAAAGTAGAGGACTTGGTATTTACCGTCAAATAGAAGATCACCTGCTGCAGCAAAGAGCTGTAAGATTTTTCCTAATTCATACTCTGTTCTGCACTGCTGCACCATCAGTTCCAGGAGAAACGACGCTTGCGACTCCAGCCACTGCACAGGTAACTGAGGAGGTGTTTGYTCCTCTGCGGTTTTAAGCTGTGTGTATGAAAAGACTTTTAATGATCTCCAATGGTGCTGATTTTTGCCAGCATACTTCTCAGCAAATGTAAGTGTTAATTTCTATTCATTTTGGTGAAATCACACTGGAAACCAGAACTGCATCAAACATATGAAGGGCATGTCCAAGGGGGCACTGATCCATCACTGATGTTTGTACTCACCTTTCATCTGAAYGCAGGAGATTTTATGAGTAACCCYAGGGTTATGACTGGCACTAACTAGRGTAACTAAYCACTGATTTCCAGTGACAACCATGGAGGAGATGAAAGCCAGGAGATGAAAGGAGGATGGGAAATGGGCAGTAAAAGAAACTGTTTGATTAACAGCTGTGTATTTTATAATCGTATCCWCTAGGTATCTCAAAGGCACACAGGGCCACTGGGCTAGTCAGAGCTGCAGGAAGGAAAACAGCCAAATGCACGTGCCATGGAGTGCTAGTTACCAGCACCCTTGGGGAAGTAGGAAATGGTGATGGAAAGGAACGAACTCAAACAATTTCTGAAAATATCTGCATGTGAMAAACGATGAAGAGAGCAGGGAGCTGCCTCGGGTCTGCTAAAATCAGCTGCCCAACTGGTGTTTTAATTGGCCTGTTTTAATTGTTTATCTCAAATAGGCAGTCTTGGTAAGTCACTAGTTTAGCAGCACAATATTCATTTGCTCTAGTCAGTGCACAACAGAGAATATCTCACATTTACTCACTGCAATAGCTCAGTGCTCCTGCTAGAGTCAGCACCACCCCTCAAAGGGAACTGCTCACAAAAATGTGAGGGCAACATGCATTTCAGTCTGCCCACACCTCTTAAAACGACTTAAAAAACACAACATAAGTATTGATCACGGGGTCAAAAATATTTTCCACCCATTGCCAGAAAGAAAAAGAATGTGCTGAAACCAGATACTTCACAAATTAGCTCCTTGACAATTTGAAGCTTTTCCATTATTTTCATATATGACATTAAGTAATTATCATATTCAAATGATAAGACCCAGGCAAAGCCATTTACAGAAAATGAATTCTACTTACTTCCATGAGACTTGTCTGAAACATGTCCAGTTTTGTTTTAGCTTCAGTGTATTTTTTGAAGTTCATACATAGTTCATACATGTCCAGGATATAGAGTAAAGGGGAATCCTTTAAAATATAAAAACAGGCTGTAATTCTTCTCTGAGGGCTCACCAATAAAGGAATACCAATGGGTTCCTCAGTGCCAGAGCAAGGAAGTTTTTATTTATTTGCAAGTTTGTAACAGCTACAGGAACTTCCACTCAAAATGTTCTTATTTRGCCAGGACCTCTCATGGATTTACCCAAACTAGACTGTCTGAAAACAGCAAGACAGTAGGAGAATCTATAGGCAACCTCCTCCCCTACGAAGACTTGAGATACAGCGAAGGGGCTACTGAAAAGCCATGACCTTACCTTTAAAAAGAGCTGGAAGCCATTTATAAGTGTTCTGCTTTTTTCCTTTCTTAAAAGCACCTTCCAGATAAGTGAGAGGTCATCAAGATCCCATTCATGATTTTCTACTGAGCTCTGAACATGGTTTGTGGCTTCAGCTCTGGTAACATTATCCACAGTAGTAATTATCCAAACACAAAGGCAATGGATAATGTTGGCATCCTGCCGAGTAGACACAGACAATGGCTTTATAACAACCAAAAGACCAATGTCACTTCATTAAATATCACTCAGCCAAGTATGTCATCCTAATCACAACAATTACTATCAGAACTGAAAAAAAAACCTGATGAATACAGCCTACATATCTATCATTTCACATAATTACGTGCAATAAAAATATCTTCTGGAAGTATGAATAATAAAGGCAAGTAATACTCACTTGAAAACACGCTGCTAATACACTGAGAAAGGGAGAATGCTGCCTCATTCCTTCAGTCAAAAGGTAACAGGAAGGGTTGGGGTTCCCCTGACATTGCAGGAGGATTTGGAAGAGGCTCTCCTCATTTCTGCTTTCCRACGTGCTGGCAGCACCGCTCAGAGAACTTCCCCCATCAGGGTACAAAAAGGGCAACTTCTCCCATGCCAGCRTCAAGTGATCTCGTAAAACTGGAGTGAAATCTTGAAGCAGAGAAATGACCTAGGAAAAGAAAATCAAAAGCATCTACATAGAGCAAGAYTGAAGGAGAATGAGAGGGAAGGAAGGAGGACGTACTAAATCCTTCCTTCCAAGAGGCAGAGAAAAGCAGAAAAGGGGTGAAGCCCAGCTGTAATCACAGGGATCACCAACAGAGAATATCAAACATGCTGAGTTCATTTCTAATTCAATGGAAACTGATTAGGTTTCGACTTTATATCGCCCCTCCAATGTGACATTCTTTCATACAAATACTTTTTTCTTAATTATTATTATTTTTTATTTCAAACAGACCACCACAGACAAAGCGCATCCTTGCATGGAAAGCTGAGGGTTTGCTACGCACTGTGGCCTTACCTCATCYGGCTGGAAGCTGTACAGCTGCGCTTGGATGATGAACTGCAGCCAGTCGTTGGATTTAGCACATTCCTTTAGGTATGATGAGCTCAGCCTGGTATTATGGAGTTTACAGAACTGCATTACCAAAGACCACTGCCTTCTGGAGTCATTAGACAGCCTGCATGGAATTTAAAGATAATTTTAACTCATTATTTCTGCTTTTACCTTCATGTATTACATCTAAAAGCAGAAAAAAAAAAAAGGAAAAAAAAAGATACAAAAGAACAAGCTTTTGCAACGCAGCTGCATTATGTGACAATTTTCTCCAATGCTAATAATGTGCAAGTTTGAGATGCACTGCCTGCAAATGTCAACACAAACATTTCCACACACCTCGCTAGGGATTATACCAGATTGCACTAAGCAGCTCCCATGCTCTGTGCATGCTTCTCTCCAAGGCAGGTGGGCTGCCCACTCTTKAAAAATCTCAATTTTGAAAAGAATTCAGCAATTTTTCCTTCTAAGCCACGGTGCTGCAGAACTGCTGCAGAGCAGTAATTTTAAAATGCYGACTGCATTTCATTATCCTGGCCATTACACATTTATTATCTCTATCATTTGAAATACTCAGATCATACCTTAAATCCAAATTCTATTATTCAGTTTACTGCAATAAAATGCAAACAGATCTCTTTAATAATGCCTGAATACACAAATGTTAAAATTCAATGTTCAAGGTCTGTTTTTAACATAAAATAAAAAAAAAAAATTTACTCATTTACTCCTTGATGCTCAACTGTATCCCAAAAGGCTTCTTCTAAACAAGTAAGAATTTCTGTTGCTGCTGCTTTTTCATCATCCACCAACTTTGTTAACTTCTCAACTGTTTGAAAGAATGAATTACTGTTAGTATTTTGGCATAACAGAAATATTTTCAACAGTAGCATAGTAAAGAAAAAGCTCAAGTCTTCCAAATATAAACTCTTTAGTAAATGCACCAAGTCAGACACAAAGTGCCTACATGATTTTTAAACAAGAACCATCTAAGCATTTATCTTTTTAGTAAATCTGAGCTATAGTTCTAACCAATATATTTTTAGAACTAGCAGGAAAATGAAAATCAATCCCCTCCCCTCTTTTTTTCCCCCCTCAGAAAAACCCCACAGAACTGTGCATACAACATTCTAAAACTATTCCTAGAATAAATCTAATGTCTTCTTAGTTTCAAACATTCGATTTTAATAGAGTCATAAGATAGAATTCAAGTAAGTGATTTGTTAATGTTCCTCTATTTAATCCTCTAGTTATATTAAAAAAAAAAAAAAAAAAAAAAAGCTAAATCTTACTAAAAACTGCAGTGAACCTTAGACAGCTCTTCGACTCTACCATTAGAGACTACTGCAATTCTGGCTGCTCATAGCCCTGTAGTCTTCCCGTCCTCCTGGGTATGCCAGGTCCTGGCTACACCAAAGCAGCAGCAACATAAGAGCAGCAAAATCCTTAGCTCTTCAAAGAATAGCCTTACTTTTCCTGAGAGATCAGGCACCTTCTTTCAAATCCCTCTCTGCTTCTCATCCCCATTGACATATATTACTCATTTTTAAAACAAARGACACACCTACCAAAAGCTTCTCTTATTGCACTGTGCTGAGATTCCTCATTTTTAGTTTTGTAATTGAAAACAATGTTTGCAACTTTAAGATCAACTCTGAGTTTGAGGCTGTCGAGACCAAGCAACTCTAGAAAACAAACACAGGCTGCTGCTATTGAAGGTACATGAAAGAAAGAAAGGGCGAGGACATAGGCTTCCTTCCCTGCTTGCTGAATCCTRCAAGAAAACAAAGAGCAGTGAATACATACAATTTTCTACTGATCTGACAAACACAAATATTCTCTATTTTACAAAGTACTCTAAGTTCTCTAACYCTTCCAGGGTTTCATAGCATGAGAGCTATTTATTAAGAATTTCATACTTAGAATGAACATAGGTATGGGAATAAAGCTTTGTACGTGATAAATGTTCAAAGGATAAGCAGAGATCTAATTTAATAGACTTTAGTAAGAAACTAAAGTAAGTTTACTTACTTTAGTAAGAAACTAAAGCCAACTCAAATGACAATGTAACTAATAAGAGCACTGTCAGTAGGTTTTAGTATAAAATGTTCCACTGCAGAATTTATGATCTAAGCACTGCAGCACTAACCTGAAACTGACTGTGGATTGCACCGAGTTAACTGCAATGTTCAATGCAGTGGCTAGTTTGTTGGATGTCTGAAAGTTTTCCATACTACTAACTGAAAAATTTAGGGTTGCTCAAGTCTGACATGAATTTTAAATTCATTCTGAGTATGTGTCAAAGTGGCATTTTTTCTCCACAAAGTGACCTAGAAGTTCACGTCCCTAGAAGCAAACCTGTGTTTGATGCAACTGCAACACTTAAAATTCCCTGCTCTCGTTGTGTGGATATTATTTAGTAATTGAAATTAAAGCTCATCTTCTTTTAGATGATATTTTATTTCTGCACTACCAAATGCTAGATTGAACAGATTTCCAGGATCTAGTATTTCAAGGGGTTATCATGTTTATTATTCTGTGCTCTTGGGATGATCTGCACCTCACGCCTATTTACTGTTGCAGAGGATTAATGTAATTATTGTGCTAGGTTGTAACATTGAAAGAATGATCCAAATATAAYTTTTAAAAAACTTACAACTGTTTGGGGGATTTGCTCTTTACTAACTGCTGGACCAAAAATGTACCAAAAGCAAATGATGGACGTCCATGGTGCAAATAGTACAAAAAGTCCAGTCGTTCCACGACAGCATATTTGTTCACCAATTCGGGGGAAGAAAAATGAGGAAAATCACTTGATGTATCTAGAAGGAATATCAACATTTTTTATGAGCTGATAAACAGTTGACTTAAACAGAGGAAATGGCTTTCAGCGGCTGAACGTGAAATGATAACCAAACACCTCTCTTGCTCTAACTCAACATACTTCAACATGCTTCAACACTTCAACATACCAAATCCGACAGAATTCCAGTTCTCACCATAAAAAAAAACAAAAAAAAAAACAAAAAACAAAAAACACACACTCAAAGGCTAACTTTTTCTAATAGTCATGATCAGACCATTTCTTCTAAGAATGGTCGTCTTCTCAATTTGCCTTTAAAACAACAAAATATCTTTTCCAATCTCACAGTACCTTTTAAAGATTTGTGTCTGTGAAGAACTAAKAGCTTAGAGGAAAAAAGACAACCAATTTAGATATGATTTAATTTCAAAGCAAATTTTTAGTAAAATCAGAGTTTTGTTTTTTTGTTTATTTGGTTTTGGAAAAGGAACGTCTATGGGTTTATCAGCCAAGCGACTCCACCACAGGTATTTTATCTGAGGTAAACAGGCTAACAAAGCATAAAAAAACTAGAGAGACATACCTGATAAAGCAAGAGTATTTGTGGACTGCCAGCCAAACAATCTAGTGGGATCAAAGGGCACTAATGACTGAAAGATTAGAAACAAAACACACTCAGTCAGTTTAAGGTTTTGACATCAGGCCAGACTAGAGAACATGACAGGGAGCTACAGCAGCAGCCAGAAGCTGCCTGCTCTGCTCGTTGCATCTCGCACAGGTCTCTCAAGAGCACTCATTTATCTGCTCAYGTAGGACCAGACTGCAAAGAAGTACAGAGAAACACCTGGACTTTAGTCTAAGGAAATGGGCAAGAACATTGTACTTTGCTTAACCGTGATCTTAGCAAACTATCATCCTCCCAATAAGGAATAATTCACAGTATTTCTTCCAGCTCTCAGTTATTCATTTCATACCACATATCTCAAGCAGAAGATATTTGCCAAGAAGTGTTTATCGTAACATCCCAGGACACACAATCCTCTAATTTTAAATTTTAATTTCTTACATTTTTTAATAACAACAAATAACATGGTTCTTGCATACAGCAAGGATATTATTTTTCCGACATTCCAGGACTGTCGCACACAATCTCTGCTGAAGTTAAACACCGCAGATGTCTTTATGTGTCTGGATTAAAAATGCCAGATTCATAGCTAGTACTGAGATACCATCTACAAAAAAATGTATAAACTTTAGCCCCAGTTAAAGTTCCCAGGAAAATAACATAGTCCCTGCCTACCAGGATTTAACTGGAAACAAACTCACAATTTAATTTTTTTTTTTTTTGCCAAACAGCTCTAAGAAAAACCAAAATGTTTACCTGCATTAGGTGGTAGAGAGAGATGTCAGGTGGCAAAATCCCRTGAGAAGTACACTGGGGAAAGAGAGCAGCTTTGAGCTTGGGATAGGGAGCCAGGGCCATTTTTAAGAGCTGTGGATCAACTTTCTTTACACTTCTTTCTTTATCTTCACTCTGAAGAACCTAGGTTGAAAAGAGGTAAGGTTATTTCTCTCAGAAGAAATAARTTGCATTGGACAGTAATAAAACAATCTTTGAATGGGCTAAATTATCTAATTCATGGAAATTTGTCATATTATAGTACCACAAAAAAAAATTCTGAAAAATCCTGATAAGAYACATCAAACAAAGCTTCAAAAAGAACTATAGTTTTAGTCTATTCTTACATATCACAAAGCTGGCGGTATTAAAAACACATGTAAGAGAAGAGATTTGATTATAAATGTGTTTTTAATCTCTGTAACATAATACATAAGTTAGCACAATGCAACTAAAACAGTTGTTTTTTGAGTGTGCACATATTTTTAATGTTTGAGAATAAAAAAAAAAGTGACTAATATCTATGGTGACCAAAAGAGGAGACTAATAAACTTGTCAGTAGTTTGTTGCATGCAGTACCTGATCAATCCCTCCAGGTGCATACATGGTGCTTGCAAGCGCTAATAGTGTACGTCCTTCCAGTAACATGCTGTTCACACTGGCTTGATTACTAGGAATCAATATCTGAGCATTGGCTAGACTAGCCTGGAAAATCATCTTGGGATCTAGAAGGAAGAAAAGTGAGATATAATTTAGGGAAAAAACAAACAAATGAACAAAAAACCACCATTATTCATTTCTGCTTAAAATGTTCTATGACTAAGAAACAAGTTGAATTTTCTATTTATTTGTTGTTAATAATGATGTTTTTCTTGGTTCACTCACAAATACAGGTAAGCCCGTCTAGTTTGTATTAAGGTTTAGTACACAGTTCTACCTATGAAGATTCATTTGGATCAAGTCCTCCATTTTTGCATTTCATTACTAATGCTACTCACATTTCCTGGAAAAAAAATGCAAGCTGTACCTGATCGTTACTTTTATCACCTGTGAAYGTGTGCTGCTACAAAACGGTTTTCAAAAAGAGTTAAGTGAATTACGGGCACAAATTCTAGTGATTTTCAAGCATTAACTAAAAAAAATGTTGTGAACCAAGCAAAGACAAYCTAAGGAGCAAAGAAGCCAAACAGTACTGGGACATCAGAAGAAGCTATAATTTTAATGTGTGTTCACTTCCTTGTGTATTTATTTCTGCTCAACCCTTTACTAAAAGGATCAAATAGGAGGCTAAGATGTTCATACACAAACCAATGCTGACATATCTACAGTCCCAATAYCTTTATGTAGAATACTCACAATTGTTGGAGTAGGAATTACCCTCAACGTTTACATGTGCATTGGTTGCCCATCTCTAAAATGAATTACTATGGTGAAAGAGTCTGCAGCAGAAGAGAGGATAAACCCAGATGTCCCAGATAGAGGGAGAGCAGTGCCAACACCGGGCCCCAGCCGAGCGAGGCCAGTCTCCTACCTCGTGGGTTACTGGCGACCCCTCGACACTGCACAAGAAACTCAAACCAGGGATGAGCTTCATGCAATTCCTTGTTATCCAAAATAGGACAGTTTGAAGGAGTTAAACTGTAAACAAGTTGAAAACAACAGTGAAAATACAATACTCATTCACAGAAACCACCACTTCCACCTCAGTAATACCCATTAAAAGTTAAGGACGTCTCACTGGGTGATACAGCAACTCTTTTCATTGTAATGACAGAGTCAAAGATCCTATCACCCATCAATACAGGACATGCAGCTGTAACTCATGCCATCTCTGAYAAGTCCCTTCTGTGCTTGCTTGCTTCTGTAAATGTTAGTAGTAGTTTCTAGCTTGACAACCCCAAACAGTTCCCAAAAAAGTGCTGAATTAACAAAAAGCACTCTGTATAGTACGAATACTTCATGAAACAAGTTTCTACTTTATTTCATGAAATTAGTTTAAGTCATTTGTAGGCTTTCTGCTATCCCACTTCCACCTACTTACTCAATCGCACTGTGGGACTGGTATTAGAACTTTTTTTTTTACTTCAAATCATTCTTTCTATGCAAAGTATAAAGACAGTTCCAAAACTTAGCATTTCTTTCTCCTCTTCAAATTCCAACTAGTCCTAATTTAGACTGCAACCAGAAATTCCTTTATTTGCCAATGCATTGGCAAATAAACCCATATCTGTGCTTAAATGGGATATTTTCTGAAGAACAAGTTAGCTTGGCTCACTTATGATTGTATTCCTTAGAGGGTTTTACTCATTAAACATATAATTGTTTCCTTTACTGGCTGACAGGCAAATAATCATGACAAGACAATATGAATAAAGCTTCAAAAGAGAACGTGAGATCTAACACAGAGCCCCAGCTATCCATGAAATGATGCTGTGACTCGAGCAGTCTTTCTTGCCAGTCAGYAAAGTTCTAGGAAAATCTCTACTGATAGTCATTAAAGCTGTGTTCTACTGTTTAAATATGCATGTAATTTGGTGGGTGAATAAATTATTCATACCTGTAATAGTCTAAGTAAGTGTATAATAGATATTGCAAATTACGTTCCAAACAGTGAAGGACAAAACGAGTATGGAAGTCCAAACCCCTTGCAGTGTTGTATTTTGGAACAGGGTGAGGATTCTGCATTACTCCCCCAAGGTAAGACAATCTTTGGAGCAGAAGTTCAAAATCTTCTAATTCAGAAAGGACAAAAATTCCATTTCTATCAGAGAGAAAAAAAAAAGAAAAATAAAAAGGATACACACAGATCAGGCAACTATCTCTTTCAGAAGTTCTGAAATATGTTCTGAAGTCAAATCAGGAAAGCAGATCTTCTAGGAAATTACTGCATTACCAAGGCAAATATAATGCACCAAAACATACAAAGTTTGACAGCAATCTACCAATATCTTAGATGCTACGGTTCATTGGAGAGAACAAGGTGCGAAAGGTGAAATATTACATTTAAAATGGGCAGCAAGAATATAATCCTTAGGGGAGCATTTCAACTGCACTGAAATGCAAGTACAAGACACAACTTATTAAAGAATTTGCGTTGTTTTAAAAAAGGGCACCAAATATTATATAAAAATGAGTATGTACGGAGGATTTTATTAACATGTACTTCTAGAACTATTTGATTGTGATTCTACATAAAATACAAAGTTAGTAAGCTTGGGAAGGGAACGTACCTTGCCAGTTTGTTTAATATTTCATTTCTCATGTAGCCACAACATAACATGTTTTTGTCAATAATGTCTGGAGTCAGAGGGGGCCAGTTAACTGGYCCACATGAAGCCTGGTGGGATTCTTCAATCCATGAACAAAGACTAAGCCAGTCATGCTGGGCTGTCAGATGCCCCCAAAGAACCTCGGGATTACAGGTCTTCCACTCTGCATTTAGAAAAGAAGTGCACACAAAAAGAAGAAATCCTCATAATCACTATTTAGGGAAATATTGATATTTCTTTATGTGTGCATGTAATTTTAATGGGCTGGTATTTCTTTTGCAAAGATGATGCTGATCAGTTACATCTTGATACTGTTGATAACACTTGATACTGTTAGAGAGAGTTAGAGATTTACAATGGAAAAGCTAACACACCACTACCCCCTAACTAGTTCTACCAAACATAGAGGTAGATTTCATTCACAGCAAATAGCAAGTCTTCTTTTCAGCTAGTTCCACCTCTTCTCACCAGGAAAAACACAAATGGCCATGAGAACACAACAGGACAAARCAGTTTGCTTCTGACTGAATCTGCAACTTATCCCATCTCACTGACAAAAAATAAGCGACTTCCTGTGGTAGCACAGAGCTTTGCTTGAATCAGCGCCTCTCCCACACAACCACATTACGTATCAAAGACACTCAAGCTTTTAACTCAAAATTTCTTATACTATTTAGTACTCAAGTACTTGCCTTCACGTGTTTTTCTGGGGAGAAGAATCATTTCCTGAACAAGCTCATCCCACCACCGAGCCCAGTTAAACATCACTCTGAATTCTCYATTGTGAACCTGAGGTTTATCACAATTCAGGAAGGAGTCTAAAACAGCTGTTTGTCTGGAAAAATCTTGTTCCTTTCTCCAGCTCGTGAAACTGCAATGAAGTTTTCCATTAATACATATTCTACTACTCTTTAAAAACAAGAGATGATGAAAGGATCGGTAAGTTTTGCTAGTTCCTTTTTGGAGGGAGCTCTACAAGTGGCAGAGGGGTTTATTTCAGCCAAGACAGTGACAGTGCACACAAAAATAATCAGCAAAGAATAACTCTTCCAAAACGGACATACTAAATAATATGTAACAGTATGCAAGTTGCATAACATTTTAAAAATTCTCTAATTTAAAAAAAAAAAACAAAAAGAAGTTTCTCTAGGTCAAATCATGTTACAATATTACAGATATCATATCAAAAAAATGGAGCAAGTGTTCCACCTCAACATGTTTCATTTGGTCAACAATTCTAATAATATCCTTAACTATTAAAAATGCTTCATTTATACGGATAACAAGCAGATCTCCACTGCATTAACAATACTAAGTCATGACTTAAGGCTGGAAAGAACATGACAGAAAGTCACATTTATGAAAATAAAGTAATAAATTCTTATACTGACCCTTACTTCTGCAAATGAAGAGCTGCACAACACAAACAAAGTTACAGAGGACTGAATTTGTTAATGCAGTAAATCATATGGAACCCAGAAGTCAACATATTTAAAAGTCCATTAACTTTATTAATTAACAATTCTAAATCTATAAGTCACATTACCTAGAGAAAGTCTGAATCTCCGTATTTTCTTGGAAGGATTCTGAATAAAAGTTTTCAACCTGATTCACAAAATCTATCATCCTCTTCTCTTTTTCAGAAAAATATTTTTCTTCTTCTAATACTTTCACCTTTAATTCAAATTAAAGTATTAGATCCAGTTACAGTTTTTCTCTACTTATCGTATATTAAAGTTGCAAATAATCATGCAAGTGAAAAGAGTTAACAAACTATAGGAAAAAAATGCTGGATTCAYTGATCAATATACTTATACTTAAATTTCAAGAGGGCCAGAATTTGATTCTCTGTGCAAGCAGATGAGAAGTAGACCAGAATGAAAATAAAGAAATGACACTTTAACTGYAAATACAGAAGACTACAGCTGTGTCAATGATGGCAGCTACATTTCATGGGTGATGAAACAAAACCAGTTTGTTCCCATTTGGAAAGCCTGTTCAATGCAATATTTCTCTCTGTGTAAATCAGAGTTTTCAGAGCCAAGAACATCAGACAGACAAAAAAGGTCTTTTCTCCVCTTACCAACAGATCTCGCACATTCTTATCAACTGTGTAGAAACATATCTTACGCAATTCTTTCTTCACATCAAATCCCTAACAAAACAGAACACGTTATCTGAAAGCTGACAGTACAAAGCTGTACATTGACAGAATAAAAACATCTGCTTTCTTTCCAAAACACAGAAACTTTTTTTTAATTGTACAAAATATATTTAGTACAATCATAACATAAGAAAGTTAAGACCTGGCTCCACACGCACACACACTTATTTGTCATGGAGAAGGGTTTAGATTTATCAGCATGCTCATATTTATCAGTATACTTATTGACCAACTCTCACCATGTTTCTTAAAAGTTTTGAGGCCTCTTTGGTATTGTGCTTCAGAAGACGGTCATAGACCAAATTTAAGCCTTTCTTAATAAATTCTGTAATATCTTCAGCAGGATGCTTACGTATATGAAAGAAGGCCTGGGCCTCAGGTACTCTACTGCTTAAAATGGCATCAGCAATAATTTCCTGAAAGAGAGAAACACTTTGGAAGAAACTGATCCTGTTAATCTATAATGTTACCAACTCTACGTTCCCTATTTTGACTTTTTCACAGTAGTTTGCAGACTATTAATCATATCCTTCAACACATTTCTTACTAACACTTTAAAATACATTACACATTTTTACCTCTGTTGTGAGTTTCTCCCACTTTTCGCTCTCCTCTATGATAAGAATATCTTCATCTTCCTCGAGATCACTCTCTGTGTGCACGGTATCCGTCTGCACTTGAGGAAGCCTGACAAATGCTCTGAGGTCAATAATGTAATCGGATAAAATGCGGGCAGCCTTCTGCAGGTRTTTATCAGGTTCTGTTGAGAATGACCAAGATATCAGTTAAATGGAAATTTATTATTAATACAGCATTCTTGCTGCTTATCAACACTGGATGCATCCACCACACTTTAATAAACTAAATGTGAGGCGAGAGAAGACTTGAACTCTGAAGAGCTCATCACACTGGCCACTCCTGTTGGGATAGAGCCACAATCCCAGCAGGACAACCCAGAGAGCAATAYATGTCACAGTACTCCCAAGCAGCTCTCCAGCAAAACAAAGCCCGAGTGCTTCGGAAGCTGAAAAACAACCTCAAGGGCAGGATAAGGGAGAGGTTCTCTCTAGAAGGAAGAGAATAGAGAGGGAAAATGCCCCTCCGTTGTCCTCTGGAATTCCCTTATTTTAAGGCTTGGTATTCCAACTTCTACTTTATTCTTAAAGTTTCCAGCCATAGTTTGAAGAGCAACATTTCGGCAGCACTGGTAGTTCTCGTGGTCATTCCCTCCCACATCCACCCTACCCGCTCTGGCTGATGCCGCTTCCCTGCTCTGTGCCCTACAGGGTGATCAGATTTGGAAGTGCTCCACATAAAATAGCTTATCAGTTTTGTTTGTTTTTTTTTTTTTCAACTGCATTAGGTTCTTGAACTAATCTATTTCATTGCACAGCCATGGAAATACTCGTGCCAATATAATTTAAGTGGTAGCACTGAGTAAAGAATGAACAGCTGATGACCAACTACAGCCATTCTAGTGACTATGCCAAGCTACATCAAGCAACCCAGGAGAGCCTTCCAGCCCAATTCTCCCCTTCTTCCACATCCAGAAGCCCCACTCCAACCAAATGTACAGACTAATCTGAAATCAGAAGACTTTATTTGTATCATAGCTGTTTGGGCCAACACATAYGTTATATTTAGATGAATTTCTTATGCTTCCTCCTTAGATAGCTTCTTTCATTCACTTAACTCTAGCCCAAGGGTTTTTGTTAATTCTATGCAAATTCAGGATTCAATATAAAAACCAGGATGTTCTCATTCCAACTAGACAATGACACACTATATGACTATATGATTTCAAATCAAATTTTCATTTGATCAAAGTGTTCTTACCTTCTGTATGCTCAAAAATTCCTGCAAGTTGTTTGTTAAGGAAGGTCAATGTGAGGTTTAGCAGTTGCTCAGAGAAGTGCTTACTTTGAGTCTCCAAATCGTTTTCTCTGATTGCCGAGTAAAGCAAATTTAAGGCTGGACTTAGCTCTTCCAAATCTGCAGTATTTACATTAAAAAAAAAAGTTTAAACATGTACATTCTACCATATGATGGATTATTTCACATACACACACAAATAAGAATTCATACTAAAATCTTCCAAAATCTGTCAAAAAATATGGGAAACACGCTTTGCTTTTACATCAAAATGCTTGGAATACGGGTATTAGAACACAGCCAAAAACCAGACCTCATACACTACTTTTCTTATTTTCCAGGAGCAGAAGAGCCACAATACAGCATCACACAAACATACAACAGGCAGGTCAACAGAGTACTACCAAGGCCCCGTCACGCCTCTCCAGAAGCAGCAGAAAGGTCATTATATTTAAACCTCAGYGCAGCTTTAAGCATTTTACTCACTTTTCAGGAATAGCTGTGACGCAGTTTCAGCAGCCTGTTCAGTTCCAGAGCAGCTGGCAGAAAGACTGAAAAGACTTTCTTTGCTTTTCAAGAACAAGTCTACTGTGTCTAGTTGACGGTTCTTCAGACCAGCCTAGATAAATATGCAGCAACACGATTATTCTACATGTATATTCAATACATATTCTAAAAACGCACATTGAACACTTAATACTCATGTTTTGCTCTGTATTCAGACATGAAGTATACATGCTGAAAAAGAGACATTTCAACTGTGTGCATAACTGCAGCTTCAATTGACAAGGTATTGGTGAAACAGCTGCCATGCTCCTTTGGTAGGGTAAGGTTGTCTGCACAACCTACATTTTTTAAGGCACAATGTTAATTCAGCAATTTATTAGAATYTTCTCAGAGATCTAAAATAAACAGTGTGAGAATCATGACTTTGTGTATGCTTGCAGCTACTTAAAACTGCTATGGAAAAACTCCCTATCCATCTACTTCCCATTCCACCCTTAAAACAACTCCCTGCCAAAACTCCACGAAACGTCTTTATCTGAACTCTCCCTCTCTCCAGGTGTGACTGCAAACATTCCCTCGTGGGTACTGAGTGACAGGGTGGTCAGGCTCCTGTAGCATCCCAGGCTTCTGAAAGGGTGTCTTTTTAACTAAGGAACTCTCATCGAGAAGTAGGACTAGAGCCCCGGGAAGTTCAGACATGCCTCAAGCTCGCTCACCTCGAGCGCGTGCATGGGAATGGAACATCGTCCCCAGCCGTTGAGATGGCAAACGGCATCGACGACTCCCGCGCTGCTGTAGATCATCAGCCTGTTCAGGAACTCCTCTTGACTTAAACTGAACAGTATTAAGGAGAGACCATGCTCTAAATAAAAGAATCAGATGATAATTAATGTAAGCAAGTTGCTACGTAGTAACAGTTATATTTCCTGCTCATCTTTCAAAACGATGGTTCAAAGTCACGCTGGCTCCATTTGGATTTTACCTCATCAGGAATGCATTAAAAATCAGCCAACAGCAGTGAGAAAGACGGGAACGAGGGGCACTACAAAGAACAATGTTTTCTACATCAGGACAGCCACAACGAACCTCACCTGTCAGAAGCAAGCAGAGAGGCGCCTCTCTGCAATCCACGTAAACACAGTCTTTGCCRAAGGGGTGGTAAGTCACATCTCGTGACACTAAATCCCAGAGAGCAACAGTCAACTCACTGTCACTTGTCAATACTACAAACAGCGCTTTAAACGCGGTTACAGATTTACACTCCAGTTTCACCATCTCTTGGGATCCCTCGCCAGGTATTTGTATCCACTGGTGTTTTCCACTGCTGCTCTTCGTACCGTCATCTCCTGCTTGTTGGGCAGGGTCACGCATAGCAGCCCGTGCAGCAGCAGTCGTGGTTGCCTCGTTACTCACATACAGGAGGGACTCGGGATATTCCAGATTAGGTAAATACTCGTACCAAGGCAAACTGCCATACACCAAATCTGGATTATCTGGTTTTCTTCTCTTTATTGCATCACTCAGTGAGGATAAGTGTGCTTTCCAGGATCTGGTATAAAGAAAAAAGTTATCCATAACATCAGCTGTTATGCCAGGTAAACACAGAAATCAACTTTTAAATTTTTGTCTGTCAAATAATAAACATTTACATATTTCATACAGCATCTTGTATTCTAGCCTTAGCMTGTCCCCAGTTTATTTCTATTCAAATACTGACTGCAGTCAAGTAGAACAATCACATTAGCTGATAAAGTCCACTAAGTTTAGTATTTTTACAGAAGCTTTTTCTTTCCTTCGCAGAAAATCCCCTCAATTACAAAAATACTTTCAGTAGAATGAAATGAATCCACAGGACTGGACAGTTATTGCCTTCACTTAAAGTCATAACTAAATCCTCCATCAGTGCTAAATTCCTCCATTATTAAAGATTGCAACATAGTTAAAAGGTTTCACATGAACAAAAAGTAAATTTGAAGTGCACGTGTATTCCCCTGCATTAAACATGCACTAAACAGTAAAGAACACAAAAATCTGCCAATACTGACTCAAACTCATTCCTGTTCAGCAGTAACTGCTATTTGAAGTTGTTCAGTGACATACGTAAAGCTGCCTTGGTCCTTCTCCTAGCACAGCCTAACATTACAGCAGGCTGGGCTTTCACACCTTTGATTGCATGGGCAACACCTGCAATTTTATCAGTGGGGTAGTTCGGTGATCACCACTCTGCAGGAGAGTCTCCAGAAACTACCTGTCTGTCCGGAAAGGGGACGACAAAAGCTCCATGCTGTAGGCAGAACTAGCGAGGTCGTCCTCATCGAGTCCTTCGGGGGGCTTGAGCGGAAGGCTTTCAGGATCCTCCTTACAGAGTAAATGCTTAGGAAACTGCCTGCAAAGAAACACAAAAGTTCAGTTTTCACTACCTTATAATTATTTTCTTCTTTCTTATTTAACCATTCTACCAGCAAAGATATAACTGAAATTGGAAATAAATCCAAAAARGTCAAAGCTATCACAGAGAAAATTTCCTCTTAAGTGAGCGCCATTCACATAAACGTCCACATAAACCACCAAAACCTGATGTTATTTCCTTTGAGTGGCACAACCTCCAAATTATAGTCTAGGCCTATTTCATCAGGCAGAATGTGTAAAGCTGTGCCAGAACAGTTTATCAATCCCATGCTCTACAGTATTTCCAAAAGTGCTACCAAATAGCACTGCCAGGAACAAACAGCTCATAGCCCCAAAAAAACAAAAGTCCATTAAACCTATTTCAGAAAGAAACAGAGAAAGTGAAGCAAACCCTCAGTCTTCAAAGAAAAGTGATTTTTAAAAGTCATTTTTGACCTGTCATAGAGCCAGGGCTCAATAGGCAAAGCTGACAGTGTCTGAGCTCTTGGAGCACTGAGATGAGGCAACTTCTTAAGTGAGTTTTTCCTCAAAACGYGGATTTAGGAATTCTGTTGCAAACATACCTGAAATACAAGTTCAGATCCACAGAAATGGCCCGGTTGGAGGCTCCGACGACCACAGCGACGCCGAGATCAAGGGACACCTCAATGGCAGCGAGCGGCAGGACGGCGGCTGCGTCCTCACCCCGCGGGTCTCCCTGGCAGAGCGCGACATCAACCACCGCAAGCCGGGCGCCGTCGAAAGCGTCAAACACATCTTTGGCAGCGTCAAAGGAAAAGCCAGGCCTTGGTGGCAGGGCGACCAGTGAGCCATGGAAGCACCACGAGCTTCCAGGTCCCGCTGCCTTCACGGCCCAGRGCAACCTCGGCACATTCCACATTACTCGGCCACATTACAAGCCCAGCGACAGTCTCGGGTGACTTGCACTGGGTGCTGCACAAACATCATTTCCGTTTAGAGGCGAACACTGCGCACCTGAGCTGCATTTCTGCTTACCTGCTCTAATTCTCAGCATTCAGAAGCAAATTCTAAGCATTCATTTTCATTGGAATAAAAAAGGCCTRCTGCTTTTCACAGTAAGCACAGCTTTAACAAACTGCTGTAAAATTAAGAAGTCTTTTTAAACTTTGGTCTTGCTTTAATGTAACTGCACCAAATGGTTTAGAGGCTCACGAACATTRCGACAAATGACAATTAACACAACAAGTGCTGTAACATTAACCTGAGACTGTTTCAGTGCTCAGGAAACCTTGGCTGGAAGGCAGTAAGCTCTGATTTTAAACTTTAACTGTTTTTTACTACAACAGCTTGAAAGCATCCTCAAAATGAGAGGCTTTAATGCAGTTTGTGTTAAATCCTGGCAGCATTCTAAAATAAAAAGCTCTCTTTATTCTTCCAGATCACAGACCTAGTCTCTTTCACAAAGGATACAAATCCAGCCAGAACTATCCAATAAAAACAGAATTCCCCTGCAGAAATTTGTATCTCTCAATCTTTCCAAAGCTTGTGGAGGAACATCAAGGGTGAGGCAGTCACACTGCTCCRAGCTCAAGTCTTCTCCAGGCAAGGTAAAACGTACAAGAATGAAGTTATTGAGCAGAAGAATGCCTGTGCTGTCCTTAAAAGACAGGATCTTGGAAGACCAAACTGAAGAGAGGCCTGCAATTTTAAAGACAATATTTCAGCATGCTAACAATTCGATATTTTTGATTGCAAATGTATCTTAATAAAATCTAGCTCAAACTCGTTTCCTCAGCTACCAACTTAGAAGTTTGGCTTTGTGTGTGTGTAGCTCTGTCGTCTTAAGTCTGACATTTTATACTGGGAGTACTAATGTTTGCACGGTTCTCTAAAACACTGTTGGTTACTTAATATATACTACTGCAGAGGACAAAAAGGAAAAGACACAAAAACACAGTCTTCCAGTTGATACTAAATAAAACCAGCTATCTTTGGAAACAAAAATATTTTAGCTGGGAGGCTGTTTGAGAACATGCAAAAACATCAAAGCCCTAAATCCTGCACTGTGCTTTTTAACTCCAGATTATGTTTGCTAATCAAGGAACATAAAAACCCAATGTGTCCTTGCAGGATCTGCTAACAAGCCCATCGYTGTTGTCCTCCCGCCAGTTCTAGAATTAAAGGGGTAACTTGAGACAGCCGCGCTTCCAAACCACTAATGTGCAGAAAACAGCGTGAAAATATTTTACACTTCCCAAACACTCAATCTTGCTGCCTCTACTTGTCTCAGCAGATGAAGCACAATTAGCATTATAAAAGTTTTACATATGGAACAGACATTGAAATTTACTCACTAATGTCTTTAACTTCAAGGAACTTTTTAAGTGCATCCTCCTTAGAGCCGTGCAGCGGAACCTGGTTGAATTTCCCATCTTCTATGGTGTATTCATAGAGAAACAGCTGGTGACTTTGACTAAGAGCCAGTATCCTCGTCTTGTCTCCTTGCAGGRCATAATCCTCCGTGCTCTCCCACATGAAGCTGAAGATACAACACTGAACGTGTTTATCCGTCCCGTCCTCTCTCGTCCCATGCACTGAGCAGTGTTAGACGCTTGCGAGGGACAGGCAGGGTAATGTTAGCCCCGCAGAAAGGACTCCAGCCTCCCGGCAGCGTCGGGCCCGTCACCCGAGCGCGGCTCGCGGGGCAGGGGGTCCCCAGGGAGACAGCAAGGGGACACGCAGGCGCCTCACGGCAGTGACCCTGCCGGACTAGGGGCGTTTTCCCCAATGCCGGAGCACTGCAGCGCAGACAGCCCCTCCCCGGCCAGGAGAGCAGAGCCCACGGCCCCGCAGCCGGGGGTTTAGGGGAGCAGCGCGCGTGGGGGAGCCGCCCGCAGCCCCGGCCCGCCCGCCCCGC